TGACAGAACCATCCAGTTAATGGCAGGTTTTGATCATGTGAGCTGCTGGATAATTGACAAAAAATATTTCTAGATAATTGAAAAAGAAAGATTCTATTTAGTTAGCATGAACAGCATAGAAAATGGCTTTGTTATACAGTTGTCAAAAAAAAAAAGTAAAGATATAAAATGCTGGAACTTATATTTGATTGAATACTAAGAATTCACCAAGTTTATGTATCCATTGTTTATTAAAAAGTATTTCTTGAAGTGTTAAAAGACTGGGTAATTTCCTGTTTTGTTGTTAACATTGTTACAACTTTTGTTGTTAAAATTAACTTTGTTTATTTATAAAATTTATTGGCTGCCCATCTTACCACAATTGTCAAAACTCTTATAAATAATAACCTGTAAATATAAAATCCTATGAAGTAGAAAAGTAACATATAAATAAATTAATATATGCAATAAGATATTTCTTACTGTACCCTTATAATGCTAAGTTTCAGCAGGTGGGATGTTTAGTTTTAATTGGCTGAATTTGTAGATCAAAATCTGGCTAACATACAAACATCATTATTGGCTTAATATGAAATTTATATGGAGGATTTCAAGAGTCAGCAACAAGAATGACTCTTAGGTCTGTATAGACAGTATCTATACAGTCGGTAGACAGTATCTATACAGTCGGTTCACAGTATCCTTGTTTTTTAAGGCTGGCGACCTCTGAGTTATGAGCCTTGTCACATACTCCCCAAACTGTAGGGCTCATTGGAGTATTTCAGTATGTTTGTATGCAAAGGATCTCAAGTTCAGTTACTTGCTCTTTTTAACTAACATGCAATATATGGCTCTTAATCAAAAAAGATTAACATTCAAATGATTTTAACATAAGTGAATTTCATCTATCATCCAAGTAAGTATGGTCAATTTTAGCCAATTCTTCATTAAAGTTCTTTGATGTATGCATATCCATGTAAATTATCTTAAAGTGAAATTAAGAGGAACACTCACCTCTTAATAGCAAAATCATTATAATTCCTTAAAATATTTTCCATTGTCAATTTAATTTTTTTTGTTTGCATATAAGTAATACTTATTACTTTCTACTAATTCCGGTATAAAGATTCATCTTCACTTTATTTCCCCAATAGATCTTCACCCAGTCACATGTGGCAGAAGGAGATTTATTTGCCTGTTTTCATTCTTGTTAAACATCCTAATAATACATACATAATATTTCCCCACATGACTGGGGTGGGTGCACAAAGCTAACATTATAATATCTATGACAGTCCATTCAAAAAGCATTTAAATAGCTGTGTTCTACTATCACTGCCCCATTCCCAAATCTAGGATCAACTAGAAGCAAATAAAAATAATGTTATCTATACAGATAATATTGCCGATATAATGTAATAGTGCTTAACATTCTATCACATTTCAGCTTGTCCAATATACATAGCCCAGGAAGAAAATAAAAGCCTATGATTATTTTATTTTAGCTTCTCTTTTATGAGAAGTCCAGTAGCTCATCTGCTTGAAAGAAAGTTACAAGTTCAGTCATTATTTTTTCCAAGTAAACTGGAAAATTCCAGATTGACACCCTGTTAAAACACTGTGTGTCATGACTAATAAACAATTTAAGATGACCAAAACTAAAAGTTTTCTCCTATAGACATAAAACTCAGGACAAAAGACACAGTGCAGAGGCTAAAAATCTTGCTGCTCCAGTAAAGTAGGTGACCTTACTTAATTGAGATTATTCCAATGAAGAATGGAAATGTTATTCATTTTGCAGAAAACACATACTATACATGTGAAGACAGACAGACAGACACACACACACACACTGCATTAGATCAGTCTTAGAATCTAACTCAATACTGAAAAATAAAACAAAACCTATCCATATTTTTTTCAATATCAATTAAGCAAATCTGTAGCACTTGCATTTGGAATTATGGTGAAGAACGGTTTTCTGACGTGTTATTAACATTTCCAACACTTTTTAATTCAGTTCTATCTTTTACATGTAGTATTTTTAATGAAAGTGAGACTAGCTGTTAGCAATCTTTTTAAAAAGTGCATAATAAAAATCTTATGTTGCTAACTGAATTTGTTTTGGCATGCAGTGAATCCAATGCACCTGCAGAGAGAATGTTCTCAATAATGGATGACATCTGGTTGAAGACAAAAGTAGAATGTCAGTAGTTCTACTAAAAGGGTATGGCAGTGGTTAGAGCCAATCTAACTGGCAACTCTCTGAGGTCTTTGAATAAGTGTTTGGCAGCATGCTGCTTCTTTAGAAAACAAATTCTTACCAACTCTAAGTTCACAAAGATAACACTGCTTTAGGTCCTTATTCTAGAAATTTAGGTTAAAGCATTGAGACAGTAAAGCTGATCTTACGAATAATTTAATTTGCAGGTATATGTGCCAAGAACATAATAGTGATATGTTCACATTACTAGCTTTAGACCTTACTATGCATAATATGAAAATGAGAGGACGTCTTCTGAGTGCAGTTAACATTTTAAAAACAGAGAGAAAAAGGTGAGAAAAACTGATACAGAAGACATGAAAATGACGTTCCTTTTAAAAGCTGCTTCTTACCTATAGCAACTGTTTCAGTTTGCAATATAATAAGGTCAGGCATGGAAGGACAGTGAATGTCAGATAATACCATTTTCTATAGCTTGCATTTAAAAGAAATGCAAAATAAATAAATAAATGAAAGGAAGGATTTACAGTTTCATTTGCTGTACTTATTACTTTTCAACTGTTGTTCTATTTTAACCTAATGTTTCAAATAGATAAGAATTGTTTTTATATTCTTATATTTGAATGTGTTATATATTTTCTAGTGCAGAATATGAAGGAAAGAAAGGTGACAGAATTATTTATGTCCATCTGAGAACATGTATTTAATTAGTACCCAAACTGGAATAAATATAGACAATCATAGAAAAACAAATAGAATTAAGCATATTCTAACTCACTGCCATTCTATATGCTTTCTGGATAGATGGCAAAATATGGTGTATATATGATAAGGTCAAAGGCTGAATATTTTCAAGATAATAATTGATTAAATAATAATCAATAGCATGTTTCCTCTGTTCTCCTTCCTTAAATATAAGTACCTGACATTATATGATAACGCTGACAAAGATTTTTTTCTATAACTTTCTTAATGATGTAGAAACACCAGGAATTCTATATTTTGATATGATCAGGAGGCTTTATTACCCAACACAGCCATGAAGAGAACAAAATCATTTTCATAGAAGAGTTTAGGTTAGGCTTTTCTCCTGCTTCCCCCCTCCCCCTGCAATATTTTGTTTCTAGGCCTTGTTATAAGAAAAGCAGTCAGAGAGTTTGCAGAGCCAAAGAGTAGATATTGAGAAAAATTCCTTCTACGTTATCTCCTTTGTTTTACTGATGGAAAACAATATCAATTACATTTTGTTTTCTATCCAAGACTGTGGAAATACTATAACTTCTGACCTGAAGTGTACCACTTCTGAAGTTGATGAAGTTTTAATCACTCAATTTTCCTGTAAACAACTTTTTGAACAAAAAGTTTAGTCTTGCATTGTGTTGCTTGCTTTGGTTTCATGCTTCTGTTATATGTTACATTCATGGTCTTGGTCCAAATTTTTCCCTCACCATCTTTGTCTGTTCTACTTATCATAAATATGCTTTTATCTTTGGGGAACAAGAAGAACAACATATTCAATGTCTTCACCCAGAATTGACATAATTTCCATTGGACATGCTGGATTTCTGTCTCCTCTTATTATTTGCTCAGGTCTGCATCTTTATCTATAAATTCCTGGCTCCTACACTTAGTTAAATGCCTATTCTGTAATCTACTTCTTTATTCTATAACATCATTTGTCTGTGATCTCCTGCAAATTGGTTTCCATGACTCAATCCTTCTATTTGCCTATACAGATCATCTTAATCCTTACCACATCTGCAGTGGTGCTAGGACAGACTGCCCATCCAACAATAAAATAAATTTTTGCATGACATGTTAATCTTAGTCAAAATGCTTTTGCACTTCCTTTACAGTAACAGGACTGTTTGCTAACATTGTACTGCTGACATTTCAATTCCTGTAACTGTTAGTTAGAATGCCTGGGAACTTTCTTTCATATTGCTAAAACTCTGTTAATCAATGCCAGACTTTTCGTTTTACAAAGTCCCCTGCATAGATAGGTCACGAAAAATATTTAAATAGTTGTTTATAAAGCAAAACATCTATTTAGCTGGCAAAGCTACATTAGGATTAAAAGAAAAGCTGGATAACAAGGCTAAGCTTCTACTGACATTTTGGCATTGATGGAAATAACTTGTTTGCAAATTAATTCCAAGGCCTATTAAGATAATTAAAATATTAAGAGGAATAGAAACTTGCATGCAAAAAACCCTTATACAAACTAGCAATTCTGGAGACTTTGTCCAAGCTAGTGAATATTGTCTCACTCAGGAAATAAAAGCAACTGATAAGATACTTATTAAATTATTCAGAGATTAACAAACAATTGCATGCATGCATATATGTATAGACTGTGTGTGTGTGTGTGTGTGTGTGTGTGTGTGCGTGTGTGTGTGTGTATGATTTTCAAGACAAGGTGTAGAATAAACCTTGTCATTTGCAAAATACATAAAATTCTGTCATAGTACAAATTGTACACACATTTCTAGTAAAATGTATTTTTATATCAGCCAAGAAAGTATATTTAATTTGGAAATAAAAATCATTTTTGGAAACTGTCAAGAAGTCACAAAATCTGAGCCCAGACAGGAAGCATACTGTTTAAAAAGCTGATAGACATAAACTTTTCACCTGCCCTAGTTAGAGCTTTTCTATAAATCCCCTCCATCAGAAAATCCCTCATATGTTAAACAATCTTCTGTTATTTTTAATACTTGATCTATTATTTTCTGTTATTTTAAAATCTGAAAGCTTTAACTCAGAACCAACTATTCATTTAAAATTGGAAACTCACCTTGGCATGCAAACTTCAATTCCTTAGCATCTGTAACAGTGATCCTTTTATCTGCCCTATTTTTTTCAAATCGACGATGGCTTCGCCTTTTCTTGGTCTCACCCCAAAGATTTGATCCTCCATGCATGCTTGGAATGTTCAAAATAGCAATTCCTTCCAGAGAAATATTATTCAGATCTATCTGAATTCCATCACACTGCCAAAGAAAAAGAGACAGAGATGGAGAGGATCAAGATAAGATAAGATAAAATAAAATAAAGAGGAAGAAATCAATTAGCGATTAGAGGATATCAGCATCTTTGTTATTTAAATGACTTTACTAAACATATATTTCTTGTATTAATTTTCTATATCAGATTTGGCAAACTAGCCGAGCTTCCAGACTCCTGGAGTTAATACTGGATAGGGAGGCTCTCTGCTTGGTCACTCATGACCTGGTCATCTCCTGTTTGGACTTTTGCGATTCTCTCTATATGGGACTGCAGAAACTTCAGCTGGTACAAAATGCAGCTGCCTGGGCATCTTGGGCATATGATTCTTCTTTTATGCCCATCTACTTCCAGTCCAATTCAAGTTTTTGGTTGTAACCTTTACAGCTCTAAATGGCAGATTACTTTCCTTTTAATGGACCCGTCCCAGCAGCTCAGTAGTTCATGTGGTTAGGACATTGGATTGGATATTAGAAAACCCATGTTTGAAACCTGAATGCTGCTGCATGGTGGGGTAAGTTCTTATCATTTGCTCCAGTTCCTTGACAGGGTCATGAAAGGAGCCACCATGGTATCCTTTGGGCAGCAGATGTCATGGCTTATCCTTTCAGCCTGAAAGTACCTAAAACAGTACTTTTGTGGTCACAGTCATTTTAATCTCCTACACTACCTTTCTGCAAGTTAGTGAGTTTCATATGTCAGACCTTAATTCCAACCAGCTATGGGAAGGCTGCTTTCCATTGTATTTATTTTTTTTCTACTTGTTTTGGGTAACATTGATCTAGGATACCATTCATTCATTCATTCATTCATTCATTCATTCATTCATTCATCCCCTTTATATAGCTACTTATCTCATGTTGTATGTGACTTTGGGTGATGTAAAATAAGAACAGATAATAAAAACAGGCATTAATATATTATTATGATTTTTATCCAGGTACATATATATACATATAATATATATGAAGTGCAGGAACAAAATATAAACTTATTGCATAAAATAGGTGAACCTGGAATAGTCTTTTAGTAAGCATTAATAGCTGGCACTCAGAATATTAATATCTTGGAAGTAATACAGACTAGTTGGGTGCTTTCCAGATGCTGCTTGACTTTATCATCTACAGCAGGAAAAATAATTCCAAGAGGCTGGATTCTTTTCAGTACTGATAAGTAAGTCTGATCATAATGCTATTAGTCTTGCCAATTAGGGATGATAGGACTGATATCCCACAGCCTCTGTAAGGCTACAAGTTTCTTTAACCTTTAATAATTCTACTATTTCAACATTATAATAACAGTTAATCGTTTTAACCTACTTTTAATAATCAAAGTTTAAATCTGCACAAAAAATTCCAATCTAAATAGAGTATTTATCATTTATTCCTAACACCTGCAGTAACAGAAGCAGGAACTACATGGTGCTGTACTGATAACAAAGTGTGTGAAGTTTCTTTAGTGGAGACACATGTGTGTATGTGTATATGCTTAGTAACAGGTTTTTTTTATTAGAATCAAACTTTTACATGTCATATAGGTGTTAAGTATTAAGAGAATTTCTTTTTACTAAAAATTCTACTCATGTGTATACTCACTTACTGCTATACATTCTTGATAAACAGATATTAATTTCATAATTAAAAGTAATCTTGTGTAAATACCCTGCAGGCCTCAATGAATCAAACACATACTGTGTGTCAGGCCTCCCACTGTCTTCAAGTGGAATGTACTGGCTGGATAATTAGATAGTACATATTTTTTAACCTTATTTGCATGCATATTATATCTTTTGCACACTGACAAGCAGCAGTAACAACAAAAGTCAGATTACCACAGGGAATTCCCACAAAGAAGTCTTCATTCCTTATAATTTGCAGCCTAAATTAAAATAATTTGATCTTTGACAAGGATGAAATGTCAAGCCGAAGGGGGTCCTCTACAAGCCACAGCCTGTGGCTTCAGAAATCTGCCTAATTTATGTCAGTCACTTCTTAATACATATTTAAGTATTACACGAAAAAGATGATAAATATGCAATCTGACACCTTTGGTATTTCCCTGCTGTTAATTTATAAAGGTCTTGTGCCCCCCCTCCATCTGACTAAAATTATTTAAATAAAGGAGAATTGTGATATAAGAAGGTGCAGGGAGCATTTTCACTCAATATCGAACACAGCAGGCAGTACACTAAGACAATTATTTCACTAGGCCTCAGAATCATGCTGTGATGAGTTACTTTCAGAATTAGTAAAGAAGAATTTCTCAATCACATATTGTCTATACTTTTTATAAGGAAAACCTGCAGGATGACACTGAAGTGAAGTAAGTTTAGAGTTTTGTCAAACAATAAAACAGATTATTTAAGGAGCAATTCAACAAAAGTAGCCCTTGTTCATAAGCTGCTTCCTTATAATTTGTCTTTAACATGTGCAATATCATTTTTGTATATTTTTTTCAAAACAGCACTTCTCAAATTCATCCAATTTTTAAAAATGGAGCTTTACCCGATTCTGGTAGGGAAGTATGAGTAAGTCTTCCAAATTAAAGTGCATCACTCTTTATGGCAGTTTGTTTAAAAGCAGGTTTGAATTTGCCCTGATTCTTGAGAAAGTTACACGTTAAGTTAAGCTTCAGTTCTATTTTATTGAATCTTTGAAATAATGTTCCACATATATTTATGTTCCCTTCTTCCTTGTCAGCTTCCCCCCCCCAAAAAGGTAATAATGAAAATGGTAAAGGAATACAAATTCTATTCTATTTCTGTCAGAGAAACTACAAGCTCTGGCAACCCAGGTTAGTTCTCCACGGAATATCTTTGCATTTCTCCACATACCTCTTGAATGTGTATTTTTTTCTCAAAAAGCCCCATAATTTGAAATAAACTCTTTGAAAAACAGCCTCGTTTTTTGTGCTATTTGTTTTCTAGTGAAGGTTTATAATCATTGTTACTTATAAAACGATGGGAAACATAAATACTTCTGCAGGAAAAAGGGTTCCAACTTTTCCACCTTTTCTCTGACTTTACCAAACATGGAAAAGAAAATATTTTACAAATAGTAATATATGTGTACATATGTGAAATCAGAAAAGTAGCCCAAATGAGCACAAATGAATGTCAAGATAAATGCATAGATAAGGTTTCCTAAATTGGAATACAGATTATTCTTTCTCTTCCTTCTCCTTCTTCTCAAATTCCAATATTCATATTTCAAGTCATGCAAGAACTATCTCACTATTTAAATTACTTAAATTCAGCCATTTTAGAAAATGCAAAAAATAGCTCTCCTTATTAATCCCAACTCTAACAGAAATTGCCTCTCATTCCTGGACTTCATTTCTTAATACATGATATATAATATATGCATTATATAGTACCTCTGTAGTTTCAATCCTAAATAATCAATGAGTTATGATACAGTACAGTAAATTACTTGGGTTGACATGGAGTTTGCTGCCATTAGGAATGAGTTTTATTAAAACCTAAGTGTCAGCTTTTTGTCAATATGAACGTGTGTATATACACATACATACTTACTGCTATAAATATGTAATGGAATAGCAATAGCAGTAGACTTATATACCGCTTCCTAGGGCTTTCAGCCCTCTCTAAGCGGTTTACAGAGAGCCAGCATATTGCCCCCAACAATCTGGGTCCTCATTTTACCCATCTCGGAAGGATGGAAGGCTGAGTCAACCCTGAGCCGGTGAGATTTGAACCGCTGAGGAGTGGTCCCTCAAATAACCC